AGTAGTAGTAGTAGTAGTAGTAGTAGTAGTAGTAGTAGTAGTAGAAGTACCACCACCAACAACAGTTGGCCTTTCCTGCCACTCATTTGTTTGCTTCTTCAACTTCATCTATGTCTAGGCCTATTGTCACACGGCCTCTGTGAACCCGTCTGACAAAAGGTCCGAACATGTATTTTGCAGGAGACACAAAGTATCATCAAACAAATAATTATCAAATTACTTATTTATTACAGAGTAGGTGCACCCACCAACATTACATTTGGGAATCAAGTTCGCATGACTATCACAAAAAAAAAAAAAAAAAACACACAAAAAAAACAAAGTTTCCTATCTAAAAAGGACCATGTATCATTTCTTCAAATACAAACCGTTAATGAAATATCAAAAATGCATCTATAATTTAACTCCACGTTTTTCACTCACCATTGTCTCACTATCTAGGCTGATATAATAGAAAGAATAATCACTTCGTTAGCATCACTTATTGCTCATCACGGTTTTGTATGTGTAGCTATGATACACGCAGTATCCTATCATTTCAATTTTCTGTTTAATTTATAAAAATAATCCTCACTCTTTATCACTAATATTAGCTGTCATCATGAAATTTCATCACTAACATTAACTGTCATCATCGAATTTCATCACTCATATTAACTTTCATCATGGAATTTCATCACTATTATTATACGTTTTCTAATCATCTCAAACAAATGCTACCGTAATTAACAAGTAGTAGTAGTTACACATTAATTCTTTAACAATACAACTTATAAGTGCAGCTCTTTCATGAAATATTAGGTTATAAAATAGAATAACCATTGGTTACCAGTTTAAACATTACTAATTATCCTTATGGCATTTAAACTATCACAGAAGTTTCAATCGTCTTTGTTAAGTTATTATTTTCTGTTGGGTTGTTTTCTGCCATGAAGGATGTTTTCGGAAACAAACTGAATCATACAGAGATATCAATATTCAACTCTGCCGCATTTATTCAACAACTCGTGTGTAACATCTATTCTCCTTTCACTCATGACCTTTATCAAAGTAAAAGTTCCTGTACAAAACAAAGGAGGGCGCTATATAGGATAACAGTAATCCTGATTATGAGAACACATATCCAACACTCCCACTTGTTCTCATTTTAGTAAACATCTTTAAATTCAACGTTAACATATCAAAACAACTATAACGGATAAAAAAAATATACAACTTCCACTTCTTCTTGTGAGATCAACCTTCTTCAAATACAGTATAGATCTTTACCTTGATGCATTTAACAAATCAACATCTAATTGCGGTGTGAGGAACTAACTTCCAAACAATAAACACTTGAACTTATAAATTTTTAATTTTGTAGCAGGTTTTGTGAAAATATCTGCAACCATATCTTCTGATGGGCAATACTGATATAAATGATATTTTATATCTACATGTTTGGACCTCTGTCTGTTTACTGGGTTTTTACTCAGTGCAATGGCCCCTTGATTGTCTCCAAATATCTTTGTACAATTATAACCTTTCTTATCCATACCATTCAGTAACTGGGTAAGATATAAGTTCTCTTGAGTAGCGGCTGCTAAACCCATGTATTCAGCCTCACAGGTTGACAGTGCAACTGAAGACTGTTTTCGAGATTTCCATGATATTACAGGACCCTGCTCCGTTAAGCTAAAACAATACCCGGTAGTACTGCGTCTATCCTCTACAGAGGATGCCCAGTCTGAATCACTAAATGCAATCAAATTTAAACCTTTATCAGATTTCCTGAAACACAATTCATAATTGAGAGTACCTTTCAAGTATCTCAATACATGCTTGGCTGTAACTAAATCCTCTACCTTTGGATTAGATAGAGGCTGTGATAACTTGCTGACCACCCAACTAATATCAGGCCTGGTACAAGTCATTGCATAGATTAGGTTACCTATGATTTCACGGTATTTTCTGGGATCAACCGTGTCCTCACTGTTACATTGTAACTTAAGCTCACAGGGAGTGGATCTAGGTTTACAGTCAGACATATTAAACCTTTCAAGCACTTTCAATATGTACCTCTTTTGGTTCATTTGGACTACACCGTTAAATTGTTTAAAATCAATTCCCAAGAAGTATGAAATTTTTCCCAGATCTTTCATCTTAAATTGACATTGCATAGTCTCCTTGAACTCATTAAGCAACTTACTACTACTGACTGCTATAATCAGATCATCGACCCAGATAATAACTATAATAATATCATCGCCAATTAGCTTCTTGTATACACAATAGTTGGCTGGGTTTCTTTCAAAATTGTTTCGTTCAAGGTGATCATGCAAGACCCTGTTCCAACTTCTCCCTGCTTGTTTTAGGTTATACAGGGATTTCTTTAATTTACAAACTAATTTCTCTCCTGTTCCTGATTTTATTTCAAAACCCTCGGGTTGTTCTATGAAAATCTCTGCATCAATCGGAGCATGCAAGTACGCGGTTTTAACATCCATCTGGTGGATTTCTAGATCATTTTGTAATGCTAATTGCATCATGACTCGTATGGAAGTGATATTAGCAGTTGGGGCAAACGTTTCTATGTAATCTACACCTTTTATTTGGTGATAACCCTTAGCAACGTATCTAGCTTTGAACGTTTTAGCACCATCAATGTTTTCCTTGATGGTATAAATCCATCTACCTCCCATTAAGCTCTTACCCTCAGGTAAAGTGGTTAACTCGAAAACGTCATTTTCCTTAAGGGATTGAAGTTCATCTTTCATTGCCGATTCCCATGCTGGGAAATCGGTGGAGTTCAAGGCTTGGGTGTAATTTTGAGGAATCCCTCCCACTCTATAACAATAATCTATGGTAGAAAGAACTGAATCTTCCCCTTCTAAGTCAGGTAGGTATTCATCTAGATATTTAGGGGGTTTTCTTTCCCTTTTAGGGTAACGATGGTTTTGGTCAGTGGTCTCATTTTGAGGGTTGCCTGCATTTACCTGTATATCATCCTTTGTTTCATT